ATGGTTTGTGCACCACGACTGTCCAGCCTAAAAGATGAATTTTATAATTACGGTACTTCACTGTAGGAAACAGATCTGCCTGTAGTCTGTTTTTTAACATTCAATCAGCAGGGTAGAAAGGTAAACCAGATTCTGGATTGCAACATGCTGGCACTGAAAATAAAGAATGGCATGATTGGTAAAAACATGTATAATAATATTGAGAGGGTACACAGAAAACTGGATTAGTTTTTCCAATAGGCCTGGCAAACAAACTGATTTTTTTAAAAAAACTCTGAATTAAAAATGAGAAAAAAGCGAAGAGAAAATCTATGGCTGAAACAGCCTGATTACATTACAAATAAAAAATCTGAATGAGTAGGATAATCCAGCTAAGAATGCATGGCTGTTCTACACATTAGTTAGTCTATGCTAGCTTATTTTAGAGAAAATATGTAGCTCTTCCACAGTAGAAACCAAGCAAAAGAATCATTTGCCAGAGTAGCAAAATAATGAAGGATAAAAGATAAAACCCAAAGAAAAAAAATCATTGGGATTGGACATTAAAAATAAAACCAACAATAAAACTGGATAGAAGACAGACAAAAGTGGTCAAAGGGAGTTATTTTTATTTATTTATGAAATTTATTTGCCAACCATGAAAGTGACTCTGACTAGCTTATATCTAGGTATGTTCCTAGGATCTTTTTTTATAAGGGAAAAACTCTTTTGGTTCATCCTGATTCAAGCTCTGGAAGGATACAGAGATGATTCTCTCCCTTAAATTTTAGAGAGCTGACGGGAGAATAACAGTGGAAATGTTCCTTTTTGTAAGAATAAATCCAAACCAGATTTTAAGGCAACCAGAAGTACTATTTTGGACTGTGCTCTGAACTGGTAGCCAACATTATCTACATACACTGTAAAATGGGTTAGGATGAAGCTATAAAGTTGCTTATACAGATAATCCTCAATTTATGATCACAATTGAGCCCAAAATTTATTTTGCTAAATGAGAAATTTGTTAAGTGAGTTTTGCCCCATTTTACAACTTTTCTCACCACATTTGTTAAGTGAATAACTGCAGTTCTTAAATTAGTAACATGGCTGTTAAGTGAATCTAGTTTCCCCATTGACTTTGCTTATCAAAAGATCGTCACTCTGGGACACTGCAACCGTCATAAATGTGAGTCAGTTGTCAAGCATCCAAATGTAAACCATGTGACCACAGGGAAGCTGCAACAGTTATAAATTTGAAAAATGGTCATAAGTCACTTTTGTCAGTGCTGTTGTAACTTGAATGGTCACTAAATGAACTGTTGTAAGTTGAGGATTACCTGTAGATTGTAGTATTTTACCATCACACCATTCAAATGATCATCTGAAATTTGGTATGTTTCTGTGTAATGAATTTGGTTGCTGTGCCTTTTGAAATGGAAATTTCAGATGGATGGCACGGATCACAAACTCAGCCATCTTGAATACTGTGGGGTTTTCCTCTGAATAAATGAGGTGGGAAAGAATAATGTCACCGGAACAAGCATCTGTTCTGTTCAGAAATCATATCATTTCTGAGTTCAAGCTACTTTCAAATGTATTAGGCAGTTAGATCTACGTTCAAATGTTAGTTTAGTGCCATATTCTGATCACGAAAATGTTATATAAAGAATTTACAAAAACTGTTTGTACATAATATTTGAACTGCAAATATTTAAATTGTTGTAGTCGGAGATTTGCTTTTTGTACATAGGATATTCCTTCTTTGGGGTTGACATGAATGTGTATCTATTTTTCTTTTTTAAACATAATGTAGGATATGCAGAGACTTATCAGTCTGGCACAACACTGGCACACAACCCATGCTGAAGTAAGCAGAAGTGTTTCAACTTAACATTGCTTCTCTGGGTATACTAAAAATAAACTATTTTAGCACATGGCAAGCAGGCTCAAAAATATGGCAGCCCCAAAGAGATGTGGATTGACTGAGGAAAATATTTATTCCGTATCCCAAACTGTTGACTGAGCATTTAATGTCTGTAGTGGAGAAAAATCACTTGTTTGGAAAAATCACGTAATGCTTTCAAAAGAAATAAAATGAAACTATATATTGTACAAAACGTTATGTCTATTGATTACTGGCTAGAAAGATTGGCCAGCAATTCTCCTATTTGAACTTTGGTATCCAGAAGTTATCATTGCTGTAAGTCAGTCTCAGGTTGTGTGCCCAGTGTTTTCTAAAAGTATTCAGAAATGTCCACCATTTTCTTCTTTCTTGCAAGCACCGTTTTTCTGGTAGAATCCAAAAACTCATTCCTGTGTTTCATAAGCTTAGTAATTTAGGACCTTTTCCAAAGTCTCATTCAGGCATTCTCCTAAATACTTCAGGAAGAATCAAGTGGTGACACAATTGTGGGAGAAGATGCAATGTTTTGCTTTATTATTAAACATAGTCATTCTTGGACCTAGGCCATTAATTTTAAAATGTGGTCTTGAAATTTTTTCTTGTTTAAATACTCAGGGGCAGTGTTTACTCATGCATCAATATGAAGAGCTCCTCTTCGAATCCTTAAGCACCCAGCTGGATTCTTTGCTCGTTATTTTTGAATGAGGCTGGGAGTGTTGGCCGTACGCCAATAAATAAAATAAAGAAAGTGTGATCTACAGCAAGCATTTTCTCTTTCTTCTATGTCTCCTCATCTATACTTTTCTGATAAAAGTGTAAAATACAGATTTTCTTTTTGAAAAAGTTTTTTATTTTGTATTTACAATAATTCCATCTTTCATTTCAATGTGTGTTGACTGGGTGCATATATCTTGTGCTTACAATCATAATTAATACTTTTCTTACTGTAAAATACAGATTTTATGTAAGCCTGGAAATGGGGAAGAAAAGGAGAATCAAAATGATTAAAGAGGAGGAACTATGCACCTCAGAATCAGTGGTGAGATTCAAAAAAGTTTACTACCAGTTCTGTGGGTGTGGCTTGGTGGGCGTGGCAGGGGAAGGATACTGTAAAATCTCCAGTCAGCAGTGATATTTGCCGGTTTTCCTAACTACTCAAAATTTCCGCTACTAGTTCTCCATAACTGGTCAGAACCTGCTGAATACCTTCTCTGCTCAGAATTAAAATTAGCACGTATGAAGATGTTTCATTTTTAAGGGAAAAAGGGTAAAAAGCCAAGTGCATGCAGGAGGAAGGAGAGGGATATGATCTGTAAAATGAAACGTGATCTAAAATAAGTTGATTTTCTTTTACAATTGACACTTATAAGGTCTTTCTACATTTGCACTTAAGTGCAATCCATACATGCTCAGCAATCCTTTCTTTCCTGCTGTGTTAAACATGAGGTTGATTTCATATGATCCCCAGTCCATGCCTCAATTAATTATCTTCAGCAATAGCTCTTTGAAATGCAGCTAGTGAGGTAGGTACAGGGTTCCCCAGACTAGTGAGACCTGTTATGTCAACAAAGCCTACTTCCCATACAGAGGAGGTATTTAGCAGGTTCTGACCAGCTATAAAGAACCGGTAGTGGAAATTTGGAGTAGTTCGGAGAACCAATAAATACCCCCTCTGACTGGAGTTTTTACAGTATCTTTCCCCTGCTACGCCCACCAAGCCACGCCCACAGAACCAGTAGTAAAAAAAATTTGAATCCCACCACTGTTCCCACGACTGGGAACACTTCTTTCATTAAAACTCCTAAGGCAATCTATTTGGACTGTGAGAAAATCAGATTCTTTCAAACTGAACTTTCTTCTAATATCTGCCAGGTTTTCCGCCATTTGCTGGTTGGAGAAAGACCTAAGTCAACCCAAATAACAGCTGATTGTGCTGAGAGGACTAGATAATGAAGCAGATGTATCTAGTTCTGCGTCTTTGTGGTACAACTTTCCCACCTGATGCGCCAGGCCACTTTGGTTAGTCTGCTTTTTCACCCAGGGTTAATTTCTTCAGCAGAAGTGTAAGGGTCCCTGTTCAGGTTCCTTCCTCCCGACCTTTGAATACACTTGTGCAAAACACAGAAAAGCACCACCTTTACAGAACACCACCTTTACAGAAAATCAATGGAAGTACAGTATTGTATACATTTTCCAAGAGATGTTTGTTTTTTCTTATATTTTTTAAAGGTTTTGGCTTTGTTTTCATTATTGCCAACCAGATGCCTCTCACTGGTGGGAACATAATTGAATTTCCATCAATGATCACAAGACCCACAAAAGCCCATACAAGGGCAAATGACCCTTCAAATAATCATTTAAATAGCAGTGTGGGTATTTTTCTCCTTTATTTATTAAAAGAACAAAAATTGTATATAAAACAACAGAAAAAATACAGAAAAGAAAAATAAAGTGGGGAAGAAAGATATCAGTTACCAATATGAATATATACCACAAAATGGCTGCCATGATGCTACAAGTAAGATAACAACTACTTACCAGAAGTTGAATAGGATGTTTTTCACCTCTGCTACTGGACTTTGGCAAGGAAATCCCCAACACTCTCTCCTCTCCTTGTAAGCACAACCTTTCAAACTGACTTTGTAAGTGAAGTACTGTACCTCCAGGCCTTGACTTAATTTTCATAATTTCATATACTTTAAGCTATGATGTCATATGTAGAGATAAAGCTCAAGAAACACTGATAGTAAGGATTTGCTCAATTGTTTTGTTCCAAATGATCTTAAAAAGATTCCCAGTCATTTGCAGAGACAGCTTGCATTTGTCATCCCCTCCTTTTTTTTAACCTTGTAAATAATACATTTTATAGCGTCTCTGACTAATGGTTAAAGAACAAATGTTTTCCCCAAGAATGTTCCTGTGGCAGATGGCTGGCTGAATCTGCGTGGCTTTTTTTTTTTTTAGGAGTTTTGACATCAATGTAGACATAGATAAACACTTCAGACAGTCCTGCTCTGAGTTTCACAACATCTGATGCAGCCATCCTGACAGCAATTTGCTGTTATACTCAACAATGTGGGCCAGGGCCTGGAGTTTAGCTTTATGTTGCTTTGCAATCATGATTTGCACAGAAGAACTATTTGCCCCCAGAAATAATACCCTACACAAGGACTGTCCTCCAGATTGTTCCGGAAGGAAGAGAGTCAGAAGAATTCCACCCAGAAGAATCTACTGCTGGCTGAGAGGCTGTTGCCCAGGCAGAGATGACAACTGCATCTTTCAATACAATGCCAGAAATGCCACATGCTACTGTGATGAATTTTGTGCTTCAGAGCCTCCCGATTCTATCGACTGCTGCCCAGACTTCTGGCTAGTCTGCCACAAGCATACTCCAGAGCATATAAGACCTCAGGTACATCAATGGGGTAAGTGTTATGTTCCAACTTCTAGTTCTACCAGACAAAAGTTGATGTCCTTCTGGAATGTGACTGACTGAATGCTGTAAAAAGTTTCAGTCTTGGAGATGAGCCTTAGAACAGCTTGTCTTCAGAAGTTATGAGTGCTCCATCACTGGAGGTTTTCAAGAAGAGACTGGACAGCCATTTGCCTGAAATGGTATAAGGTCTCCTACTTGAGCAAGGGCTGGGACTAGAAGACTTCCAAGGTCCCTTCCACTCTGTTATTCTGTGATGAATACTCTTAAGAGCTTGCAAAAGATAATGGTAAATGTGCAGAAGGAAGGAAGGGGGAGAGGAAGTTATACTCAGGGGTGGGATTCAAAATTTTTAACAACTGGTTCTGTGGGTGTGGCTTAGATGGTGGGCATGGTTTGGTGGTCATGTGACTGGGTGGACATGGCTTGGTGGTCATGTTATTGGCTGGGCATGGTTAACTCAATATTACTCACATCGAGGCACGCATCTCCTCACCTGGCCTCTCATGACCGTGGGGATGCTGCAACAGTTGTAAGTGTGAAAAATGGTCATGTCACTTTTTTCAGGGGCATTGTAACTTTGAATGGTCACTCCACACAAGCAAAGTACCAGCAAAGGAGGGGAAAAAAACTCCAGAGACGTTCCAGAGACAGGAAGTCTAGTCCTGGCCAGAATGTAATAAGGGTTAACAGAGAGGCAGCTTCTGTAAGCAACACCAGAATGTTTCCTTCCTGCCTTCCTTACAGGATTAGGCCAGTAATTTCTTCTAACAACCGGTTCTCCGAACTGCTTAGAATGTTTAACAACCGGTTCTAGAAAATAGATGTGAACCTGTAGAACCCCACCCCTGGTTATACTGTAGTTTCCCGCATTTGTCTTTTTAAAAAAAATAGTTTATTAGAAAATGCATCAGTCGCTCCTCTTTTTATAAAAGCAGTATTGGGAAAATGGAAGATGATAAACTGAATTATTAGTACAAGTTAATAGAGTGTTTAAAATTCAGTATCACCGTGCATTGCTGTTTCATCTGTCATTACCATATTCTTTAAGCTTTTATTTCAGTTCTTTTAATAAGTTCTGCTCATTTGGGAAGGTGGGTCTTTCTCACTTTTATCAAAAATTAAAACATGCCTAACAAGAGCTTAAAAAGAGCTATCCCTCTGAGATGGCAGTTCTATCTTCTCAGCACCACAAGTGACTGAAGGCTATATGCAGCCAGACAACTGTTCCCAAAATGGAGATCAACAGATGGAATAACGTTGCTCCTATTTATGTCCTATTTAAAGGTTAAACTGGCCTTTTCCACTATCTTGTTTTTAACTTAAAAACTAAATATTGCTGGATATGTTTCCTGTTGGTTTCAAGAGGATTCTTTTAGCATTATGTCAGCTGTTTTGAAATCTAAATAGATGACAAGATAAATGAGGATTAGTAACAGTGATATCATCTGACCACATATTACATGTGGCATCTGAAGATTAAAAGGCTGCAATCTGTCAATTCTGACATATTTAAACTGTGTCAGGCCATTGGTCTGATTTTAAAATTTGTTTTTATTTTATTTTAGAAGAGTTTTAGTAAAGCCTTTTTTCCCTGGTCTCGATATACTAGAAGAATTTGAAATCTTTTGTATGAAAATATCTTCTGTCATGGAACCTTTTTCTTTTCTTTTCTTTTTGTGCCTTTGAGCCAGTGTTTATTCCTGGCAACTATCTGGATAGGCTGTGTGTCTCAGACAGAACTAGAACTCTCAACTTCCTGGTTTCTAACCTGTTGTCTTAACTACTACACCAAACTGGCTTTTCACGTGGAGCTATAGGTTCTCATTCAAATATTGTCTATGGCTTCCAAGCAAGCCAAGTTGCAATTCTAGAACCTCTTACTGGAAGAAGACTGATTGTGGCTTTCTACCAAAGGAAGGGAGGCAGGTTTCCATGTGAGCCTGCAATCCGAAACCAATTCAAATGAATGGGACATAGCAGGATTTACTTCTAAATAAACTGTAAGAAATGTTGGAATAAGGACAACTATACCATATTAGCATTTTAAGCAAAGTATATTAGTTTTCAGCTATGGTTATGAAATACCACAATTTCCTCACAGTTAATTCCACCTTCTATCCTTCCAAGGTCAATAAAATGAGGACCCAGATTCTTGTGGGCAATAGATTGTGTTCCATACTAGCAGGCTTGTAGGCCTGCATTCCTATTGGTCCGGAAAAGCCGGGCCGTGATTGCACAATACTAAGCATTCTGATTGGTTCTTATTCGGCTGCCGCGATTGGGTAAAACCAAGCGTGGCAAGCTCAAAAGCATGTCATAGGCTGCCTAGCCGCAGCCAGCTCTATAAAAAGAGCTGCCGTGGCTGGGAGTCTTGTCTCAGTATCTGGTTTCCTAATAAAGAGCTGTTGTCACTACTTCAAGTCTCGTCTCTCCTTGGGACCCACTGCCCAGACATAACAGATTGACTCTGTAAACTGCTTAGAGAGGGGTGTGAAGCACTATGAAGCGGCATGTATGTCTAAGTGCTATTGCTATAATTCCATTTGAAGACCATCAGATTGGAAAAATCACCATGAGAATTGAATGAGTATCTTTCTCCCTGCATGTTAAACATATAAAAATTTGGTCAGTATTTTAAAAGCTCTACATATCAGACGTTGCTCATGATAAATGGGGGGATTTTTTTTTTTAATTTGGCTACAACCAGAATCTCATGAAAAGCAAAAGCAAAAGCAAAAAAAAAAAAAAAAGGTACTTTCTCTCCACATACATCCACATACAAGCTCTGTAATCCCTACTGAGTACAAATTGTAGTTTCCCTAAGCATGATAGCCCAACCTCATCAGCGCATTTTCTTCAGGCTGGCAATCTGCTATGCAGCTCTCCTTGCCAAGGGAAGCCCAGGTTGGAGAGCATTTAATTACTGTTAATTGGGGCTGAAGCTCCCTGGTGTGACATCAAGCATATCAGAAGATTCCTGTCCAGATCTTTGGTAAGTTTAGTAAGTTCAGTGGAACTTACTTTCTTAAAGAATGTCACAATTCCTGAAGACCTGTAGCAAGGCATGGGCAAAAAATAATGATTCTTTTTTTTAAAAAAATATATATGTTAAAAAAGGAACAATATAAAATTATTAAAGCAAGAAAGCGTCTTTAGCAGAGGGCATGAATTTATTATTATTTTGATTTTGCAATATCTGCAAATGTTTCCACAGTGGCCAGCAAATGATAGGAATTATATTATTACTAAAGTTCCTGGTCCAGCTAAAACAATTCTATTAGAGACTGGGTTCCTTCACACATTTATTTAACACTTATCAGTTTTCAAGCTGTTTTCCCAAGACCTGGTTGAGTCCCTGAGTGCTTACAATTTAAAATGTTAGATAGGAGAAATAATAGCAGCACGTAGGCAATATAAACTGGGAAGCAGTAAACGAGAGCATCAATTTAAGTTTAGTTTCTGATGAACTTACAGCACACTATGCTTTAAGTCTAGAACAGGCGTAAGTAATGAGTTGCCCTTCATGTTTGGCACTTCAAATATTGTTAACCAGGGGTGGGCTTCAAAAATTTTAGCAACGGGTTCTCTGCCCAGTTGCTGGGTAGGTGTAGCCATGGTAGGCGTGGCCTAGTCGGCTTCCTGCACCACAGCAGTGGGGCGTTTTCCCCCCTCCCAGGCTCCAGAGGCTTTCCTTGAGCCTCCAGGAGGACGAAAATGGCCTCCCTGGGCTCCAGAGGATCTTTGGAAGCCGGAAACGGATGTATTTCTAGCTTTCCCAAAACTTCCGGGAGGCCCATTTTTCACCCTCCCTGAGCCTCTTCTGCATGTGCCCTGCACTTGCCTGCATCCAAAACAGGCCCCTTGTGGACTCCTGGGAGGGACAGGGCAGGGTGGGCGAGGCCAGCCAGGAGTGGGATTTGGGGGTTCTCCAAACTGTGCAGAATCTTAGCTAGGGGCTCTCCCAAACCTCTGCACACTCCCAGCAACCCACCCCTGTTGTTAACACTACCCAGCAAAGCCAACAGGGAACAGATTGTCCAAAGTGTAACCCAAAGAAAGGGAACAAGTTGCTTTTCCTAAACCAGGAAATTCAGCCAATGGTTTTGTATGAAGAACAGAAGTTGAGGCAGGATCTGATGGAACTAAGAGAGAAAATGTCATTTTCCCACTTAATGACTTCTAGCATTTTCCTAAGTATCACCCAGCCATAAGTGAAGTAATATACAGCAAAACTCATCTAACTGTCAGAAAATTTCTCCTCATTTCTAGGTTGGTTCTTTTCTTGATTAGTTCCCATCCATGGCTTCTTAGCAGAATCACAGAGTTGGAAGTGACCTTGAAGGTCACTTCAAGTCCAAACCTCTGCTCAAGCAAGAAACCATATAACATTTCAGAAAAATGGTTGTCCCCACAACTTCTGAAGGCAAGTTGTTCCACTATTAATTGTTAACAATTCATGTAAATCATCAGCTGCATCCTATGATCATCAAGTGATATAATTCACAACGGCTGTCTGTAATCTTGCCATTCAAAAGGAAAAGAAGGCTTAGAATAAAGAAGATTTGTAAACTGCAATGAACCTTCCTCTAATAATGTGTCTAATCCAAGTAGTGTTCAGAAATGTTAACTTCATGCTTTTCTATTCACATCAACTTCATTTTTTTTTAATCTGAAAGAAACCAGACTGATTCCCAAATACTTAGGAAAGTATCAACTTCCTTTCAACCCCAATTAGTTTTCCACATATTCCGCCAACTGAAATCTACATATGAGACTATATGAACCTCTAGGAACTAAGCGGCTTCCTCTGGAGTAACTTGTTCTGCCTTCAGGTGCTTTGGAGAATAGGTTGACCCACTCTTCTTTGTGGCAGTCCCTCAGATAGTGGGACACTCGTCCTCGTGATTTTGCGAGATATGGTTGAATAATTCAAAAATGGTGTAAGTTGATAATGGAGAAAGAACCACAGTACTATACAAAGGAAGAGGATGCTGAAAGACAACATGAGACTTTCAACTACAGAGCAATGACGGGGCTGGAGGAATGAAAATTTGACCCAATTAAGTTAAACATAGAAAGAAACCAGAAAGCACCATCATGAATTGAAGAAATCATGATCAGAGTGGCAGGAGAGATGCATGGGAGACTACTGGGGGGAGGCACGTGAGCATGCTGGCAACAGGGGATTCAGTTAATGTGTTTATAGCATCATTACAGATATGCCACCCCTATGTATCATTATTTTGATATTGTTATTTTGTGCTGAGGATTCTGTTGGAGAGATAGGGTGGTTTGGCAGCAGGATATTGGGCAGAGACGAAGGGACTAATATGAAATCTTAGGAGGTGGACCAGATATTTTTTTTTTAGGGGACAGACAAAATGATCTGTTTGCAAAATGCTAAACCCAGAAGTTTCATGACTTGGCTCCCTCTAAATGGGGAGAACTATAGGATTTTATTTACTTGTATCCTGCCTTCATTATTTTTTTACAAGTAAATGAAGGCGGCAAATATATCCAACACACCTTCCCCCTCCTACACACCAACAACCTTGTGAGGTGGATTGGGCTGGGATAGAGTGAGTAAGTGGCCCAAGGTCACCCAGCTGGGTTTCATGGTTAAGCAGGAGGGAGGCGGGGAGAACCAACTTCTTCTTCTTCTTCTTTCAAGCATAATTGAATCTCACCTTGAACAGTTTTAATCAAATAGAACCACTTGGGCTGGAAAGGAAGGTGATAATCCCCATCTATCTAGGCAATTTCTCTATATCTTTGGGCTCTGAAAAGGATATAAAAAAAACAATTGCCTACTTTATGTCTAGCTGCTAAATGCTGGAGTTCAGATTGTGCTAATAATTATATTTTTTGAGCCACAACAAACAGATTACATTGCCAGCTATGTTGCATCCACCATTAAACAAGAAGTAATTAAGTTTTAGGCCCTGCTTGCAAATATCTTTCAAGGCTTTATTTTTTTCCATTCAAATGTGTCTGATTCTTGGAGACTGTCTGGACAAGTCTTTGCCATTTTCTTAACAAGGTTTTTCAGAAGTGGTTTGCCACTGCCTGCTTCTTAGGGCTGGGAGAGAGTGAATGGCCATACAGGTCATCCAGCTGGCTTTGTGCTTATGATGGGACTAGAACTCAAGGACTCCCAGTCTCTAGCCTGGTGCCCTAACCACTACATCAAATTGACTTTTTAAAAGAAGCATAAAGCATAAAATTAAAGAAGGAATAGTAGAAGTTATTTTCAAAAAAACTGTATTTCAGGAAAGAAATAGAAGCAACATTAATGGAAGTAGAATGACTTTTAAATTCCATTACAAGCGTTACACTAGTGGGCATGCTTCCGAACAGCTTTTTCAAATATTCTTTTCCTTTAATTTATCCTTTTTCTGCAAGGATGAACTATTAATTCAGTTCACTGATGCAAAAAATTAAGCCTTCTACTTGACATGACCAAGGGTGGGAGCATCATCTTTGGGGACAATTGCACACAACAGCCTCACAAGCAATTTTCTAATTATTACCTCCTTTTTCTATGTATTGTGTTGGCAGGTTGCTTCAAAGATGGCCATCATTATGAAGAAGAAGCAACATTTAAAGATAACTGCAACAGTTGGTAATGTCCCTAAGAGAAAGGAATGAAAAATCTTCATTGATACAAGTGATTGAAACGCCTATCGTCCTAAATTCACGTTAATTTGAATGAGTGTTCCCCTCATAAAGACAAATGAAAGAGAAAACAATTTTTATAAAGGATTGCCAGCCTGCATCAAAACAACCCATGAATTATCTGCAAATATGTTGCTGTACTGCTGGTGGATAAATGTGGATAAACTGGTACTGTAGGAGTACATTTACTCAGTTTGAAGGTGGAACTGCCTACCCTGATAAGTATTTACGCTGAAAAAAGAAGTACGGAGACCCAATATCAGTAGGATGCTGTCAGGCACAAACAACCTGACCCATACACTAAGCTAGCTATTTTATTGTTCTATTGCCTATTTCACAGGAAGCTTCCCAGACTGGCAGTCATCCTGGGAAAGCTCAAAGGCATTCTGGAGGTGTCAGATCTTGCCCCCTTGTGTTTACGTAATGAGTCCAGACTAATTCCCAGTTTGATACCTCCTCCCAACTAGGGCAGTTGCACTAGATTTCCTGTCTAGGTCTTATATTTGTGGCATACAAGAGCCATGGTGGCACAGTGATTAAAAAGCAATACTGCCGAGCTAACTCACTGCTCCCTCCAGGAGTTTGATCCTGACAGGTTCAAGGTTGATTCAGCCTTCCATCCTTCAGAGGTGGGTAAAATGAGGAGCCAGATTGTTGGCGGCAATATGATGACTCTGTAAAATGCTTAGAGAGGGATATTAAACACTGTGAAGTGGTATATAAGGCTAAGTGCTATTGCTAATGCTATGTGAGCATGAACATTTCACAAGCAGATCACTTCAGAATCATCTGCTTATGCAGTGTTTGGTTCTTCATAATTTTGTTTTTTTCATTAAAAACTACTCTCTATTCCCTTCCTTTCAGCAAGTGTGTAAACAGTCATTGGAGATGCACAGATGAAACGTGCCTCATTCAGCTCAAATTAATTGAGCAAATCAACAGTGGGACCTATGGGTAAGCATCTTGATTTGTTGTGACTTTGACTCTCCTTTATTTACAGACAGAGTATCAAGTGGGTTGTTGTCGTGATATATTAATTCTTGTGAATGCCTGTGCTACATATGAATTCCAGTGCATACATACACATTTTCTAACATATTTTAAGGTTAGAAATAAATCTACAAAATCAGTTAATCACCAAACAGCAACAAAGCTGAACCGTCTGGAGTTTTGGGTTTGCAAATGTTAGATTTTTGCAATTTATGACATCAAAAAGGAATGATTTTCTGTTTCCATAATTCTTAATCATTGTTACTTATACTTATGAGATAGGAATCTATATGGTCCTCCTAATGTAATGACAGAATGTGCTACAGGCATATTGCCAAAATTTGCTTTTCCCCACCCTTCTGATCTAATTGATTTCACAGGAGAGGAAAAAAGCATTGACATCAATTGTAAATTTAGTTTCCTGCTGTGATAACAGCCTCCTTTGATAGGTTTATGCACCACCATCCAAAAAAAAGTTATTCTTATCAGAAATTAGCAGTTCTTTTTCTAATAATACTCTGTCCTTGTGAATTTATAATCGTTAACTGAAAATAATCATCCATACATCTGAAGAAATGAGTTCTATTATTTATTGATATGAAAGATTATACTGCCACCAATTTTTTAAATAAGGTGCCATCAGATCAGGGGTGTCCACAGAGGACTACAATAACTCAAGGTGACAACCACAACTGGTGATCAAAGCTTGTTCCTTTTTTATACATACAGGGGTTTTCCTAGCTAATTGTGGCTGCAATCTTGAGCAGTTTTATCGCAAGGCAGACCTGTTTGAGATGATGTACAAAATATGCACTTTTGAGTGAGTCGCTTTAAATTTCAAAAAGGCAACAACAACAAAAAAACCTCACACCAGCTAGGTTCACACAACACGTCCAACTTTGTGACTAAATTACATCCTTTTTTTGAACACAGCATACTGAATCATGAGCTAACCAAGCAGGCATTGTTTCCAGAGTGTTCTAAGCCAAACACATAAAGGTAGTTCTCCACTTACAATTACAATTGAGGCCAGAATTAGGGCCATTAGGTTGTTGCTATCATTAAGCAAGGCACCTGTATAGCTCTCCCCATTGCAATCATTATGTGGAACATGGGGTGCCATAAGGGATGGGGGAAGCCCTGGGTTGCTGAACTAATGGTCGTAAGTTGAGGACTACCCATACCCCAAACATCTCTAATAAAAATTCAAATCAGCCAAGCTCAACTTGCGGTGCAAATGAATGCAGTTGCTTGAATTTTAATTGACTGGCTAAGCAGATCACCTTAACACAACCTCTGGCTACGATGGGGATGGAGGAGAAAGAGATCCTGTGCTGCATCTCAGTTTTCCCATTTTTGCCCTTATTATTTGAAGAACATTCACAAGTTGAGTAGCATGCGAAGGGGTGGAATCATTAAGGAATATTTAGAATTTGTTAGGATCAATCGAATTTTGAAACTGGCTTTTTAAGGATTCCTGGATAGTCCCATCCTTCCCCTGGGCCACAAATTTTTTGTTTGTTTAGGTCAGGGGCCCCCAAACTTAGCAACTTTAAGACTTGTGGACTTCACCTCTCAGAACTCCTCAGCCAGCTATGCTGGCTGAGGAATTCTGGGAGTTGAAGTCCACAAGTCTTAAAGTTGCTAAGTTTGGAGACCTCTGGTTTAGGTCCATGTCAAATCCAAAAACTATCATGAAAAATAAAAATGTAAAATCATAGGACAGATTCATATTACCAACCATCATGTTTCGTAAGTCCCAGAATCCTGAAATAATTGTGTTGATTCCAAGCACACTGATTGTAGGGAGGAAAATAATTATCTTCATTGATATTAGTATCAACTGGTTGCAGGAAATGAAATTTAGAGAAAGATTTATAAACGATAGCACCTTTGAAGTATGCACAATTTAAAACAGCTACGCTTTAAGCACCCCTTTATATAGAAATATACATACATACATACCTGATGCCTTCTATTTCTGAGACAGATGGAAAGCTGATAACTACAGTCAGTTCTGGGGAATGACCTTGAAAGAAGGTTTCAATTATCGCCTTGGCACATTTCACCCATCGGCTGCCCTCCTGGACTTGCAACCTGTCACGGTAGCTCCATTTTCCTCTTTTTTCCATTCAAAGTACAAACATCGCTTAAGGATCAGGGGTGTCCCAACTGTGGCCCACAGGCAGCAGGCAGCCCTAGATAGTTAGTAATGTAGCCCCACAAGATTGCAAACTTTTACCATTATTATGTATTTATGTGCATTAAGTATACCCAGGGGTGGGCTGCTGGGGGTTCGCAAGGGGTTCAGGAGAGCCCATAGCTAAGATTCTGTGCAGTTTGGAGAACCCCCAAATCCCACCCCTGGTCTGTAATGACAGTTTGTATATGCAGCTCGAAGGGGTAGAGGATGAACAAGGCTTTCTGAGATGGTCCTCTCTATGGATACTTCAGTGGGACAGCCTTGAGTCCTATAGCGTTGTGCACCCAAATGTTTGATTTCTTTAGGAAAACACAGCAGCTGTTGCAGACTTCCCCGGATTCTTTGTGGCTTCCTACGAATGGCCAGACTGGATTCATGATCCTTTGGACCAAAGAAACTGTGCAGCATCCTGGGCGTTTTCCACTGCAAGTAATGTATGCTCTTTTAGCTGCATTGTTGGAATTGTGATTGAACTGTACCTGCCTTAAACTTACTCTTGACTTCTTGCTAGGTGCATTTGAAAAGACAGCTTGCAATTCCAGTTGATTTTCTGTTTCTTCTTCCTCATTAGATTGTTTCTTTTGAAAAATAACAGCAAGAGTACTTCTCCCCTATAACCTTTCAGAGAGAAGAAAAAATCTAAAATGCTAGCCTCGAACTCAGTAGATTCTTTTATGTGCGATAAAAAATATGCAATAAAAGTATGCAATCAGATACAAGAAACAGATGTTCTTTATAAAGAATATTGTGACTATGGATAAGATCTTATAAAAATTGAATGGAACTAACTTCTTATCTCATCCATATTGATGTAACCCAGTTTTAACAATATAAATTTTGTTAGATATAGTAAATATATGGCATTTCTTGTAGGGCAACCATATTGGGGCAACATAGATTTTCCTTCTTGACTATCCATTGGCCAAAGGTCTTCTGCTTGAGCAGGGAGCTGGACTAGAAGACCTCCAAGGTCCCTTCCAACTCTGTTATTCTACAATTCTGTAAAAAAAAAAATACCTATCAGCTGTTTCTATTTTCCTGTGCAATCCTAAACAATGATAAAAGAATATCCCCAATTTTATGAGAATCCTTTCAAAAGCTCTTGCATCTTCACAGTAATCTACCAAAATTAAGGAATGCTAGCTGGTTCTATGTCTTCCATTTCAATGGTTTATTACTACCTCTCACGCAGAGAGCTTTATAATTGACACCTGATCCTTTTCCATTGGATAGGTGTGGCTGCAGATAGAATAGCAATTCATTCCCAAGGCCGTTTCACGGACAACCTTTCACCTCAGAACCTGATATCTTGTGTCATCAAGAATCAGCATGGCTGCAAAGGAGGAAGGATAAGTAACGCTTGGTCTTATATAAAAAAACATGGGTAAGTAAGATTGTTGTTATTCTTCCAAGAAGTAAAAGAAAGAATCAAGTAAAGAAAACAATATTATGATACACATACCATCCATTTTAGAGAGATGAGAAGTTTCAGGATGGATACCAGCTATTTGTCGGGGTTCATTTTCATCGGAAAACAGACAGTGTGACTGGTGTTGTTTCTGTGAAACAAAATGTATTAACCTATGTTGACAGGCTGAGTGCAAGTTTTAAGACTCCAACTGATTCCCGTTCACCATCAGATGGTGGAATGTAGCCTGGAATCCCAGGAAGGAGGGGTTGCTTCTCAAAGAGGCAGTGGAGTTTGGAATGTCTGGTAGGCAGGAAGAGAGCTAAGCTGGCCCTTCCCTAGCAGTTCATAGAGTACAATATATCTATAGGTATGCAGAAGGTTGTTGTTGTTTTTTTAAACTGGCAGAGTCATAGCTGCTTCTATATAGTGTTTGCCTGCAAATCACAGTGAGCCTCTGTGATTTGCAAACCATGCTTTCTGGTTTGATATGTCATGTGTAGTCAACAAAATGTAGATATGGAATTACCTCGTTAATTGAGGTATTTGGAATGCATAGATCAACCTAAGCATATATTCATCCTGTAAAAAAAACCTTACATATTAGGTTTTCTCCAACTGTAACTCATTTCACTACTCTTTTTTTTTTTTTTTTGTAAATTTTATTTGAGTTTTCACAAAGAGAAAAAAAATACAAATAAAACATCTTTTTTGAAAGCAGAATAATCCTGGGTTACATTTCTTCATACAGACACAAATTCAGGTTCATGCTCATTTTTATATTCTATTCCATATCTTATTACTATTTTACATTTTCTGCATAGCTTCTCCCCTCTTTTAATTTTCTCAATTTTATTTTAATTATCTCATCTCAATTCAAATCATTGTATTTATATTTTTTTGTCTGTCCTGTTTCAATTATCTATTATCTTTTCTCATTAAACAAAATTTCTCCTGTAGTTACTGATTGGAGTATGACGCCTTTATATCTTTTCCCTAAAGTTGTAACATTCAATATAATACATAACTTCCATTCAGATTCTGCTTGGTACATTCTTAAAATACATACTGTATTCTTAAAAAAAGAAAAAGATTATAAATGTATATAATTAAAACAACATTCCATTCCAATTCAATTCTATCATTAATATTAATATTAATTAAAGTCTTAACATCTTTAACATTACTGTTCAATTAAATATCATACTTCTATGGGAACAATTATAAGCTTTCCATAGTTAATTCCCCCCCCCCTTCACTTATATTTTATAAAACATTAACTAATTAAAATGTTCCCGTTCCTTCCTAATTCAGTTTTCTCATTTATTTTATTTCACTTATTTTATTCACAAACATTTCACTAAATTACACTAACTATTTTATCCCTCATTTTAATCATACGTTGTTTCCAATTTTCTAAAGTTATTTCTATTACTAATATAACAATACAATCTTATGTACCTTTACAGAATCCCTTTTTCAGTTAGATTTTCACCCATTATCTCTAAATAGGTCCTGTTTCTCTATATGTTGCTCTGGTCCTTTGTAACTTCTTTTCCTTTCGTTCTTCCCTCTCTTCTTCTCTCTCCCCTTTTTACCCCCTTGTCTCTCTACCTCTATTTCTCTCTTCTGTATTCCCCTTTTCTGTTGCTTTCCAGTATTATACTTATTTTTCGAATTATTTTTCTTTTCTTTGGTTGTTTTTTTAAGTCTTAAATTCTCCATTCTCTTTCCCCCCTTTCCTTTTTCTTCCCCACATAGAATTACTTGTTCATTAAAGATGGCTTCTTCTTTGTCCCAGTCTTCTTGTTTTGCAGTCTTTTCTTGTTGTTTCTCATAGTTCCAAATCTCTATTAATAAGAATTGAAAAACGAAGCCAAAAGAACCCTTCCCTTCTTGTGCATCTTCTTTGTACTTTTTATGTTCCATTTTCAATTCATCCAGAAGTGGTGCCATTGTATACATTTTTAAACAACCACCCGATTGATTTTAGTCATTCAAATATAATAACCAAAAATCCAAAGATCACCAAATAATCCAAATACACGCAAACTGTTTCTTTTTTGCTCTTTTTGTTTCACTTTCTCTTCCTGGGGTTACTATTTAGTTGCAAAGTTTCAGTTAAAATGTATCTTTTAGAAGTCTTGCTGAAGTTTTACTGTAGATTCTTTTTAATTCCAGGTAGTCTCCTCCCTCTTCCAGATCCTGCCCTTATTCTTTTTCTCTCCCTTCCTGCTTATGAAAAAGAAAGTTTTTAATGTCCAGAAATCTTTATTATCCCTTTGGCTTTTTGTTTTATTTTCAGCTTAATTGCCTATTGATGCCAAAGCGGATTTTTCCGATTTCTTATTTAAGTCTCTTAGTTGTCAGTATAGGGAAGGAGAGAGAAGAAGAAAAAAAGCCAAACCTTTCCCTTTTCACTTTCCCTCGCTGCTTCCGACTTTTCTTTGGGAGTGATGTTATTTTTTGTATGTTTAAATTCCAGGGTACCTTGGTTGTTGCTTTTACAATTTAACCTGGTCAGCCAAAACTTTCACTTCTTATCTTCCTCCTGCACGTTCTTTTCCAGTCGAGTTCTTCTTTGTGGTGGCCATTTCTGACCACCGCTGCAACCACCTTTGGGAAAGGGAGTAATGGCCAGCTGAGGAGGAGAGATGCGGCTCTCCTCGACCCTGCTGGTGGTCTCCCCCCTCTTCACCACTGCTACAGGGTGCCTTAGCCCCAAAACCAGCTGGCTCGGGAAGCTCCAGTGGCGACCCCAGACAGAAACCGTGGATTTCTGTCTGTCGCCGAAGCCCTTCAAACCGGAAGCCCCAACTCATTTCACTACTCTTTATAAATGTTAAGTACCCCCTTTATATTGTCCATGTGAAAGTACATACAATAATATGAGAAAGAAAAATCCAAACAGTAACACAAAAATATGATAAAAAAGATTTCTTGTAGCCCACATTTTAGTTCATCTAAATAGAATGTAGTCCTGTAACACTGACAAAACCTCATCAGTGCTTATAATTAAATGTGAAGGGATGATGTGACAGATTATAGATGAAGAAAATTATAGCTGCCATTCAAAAACAGATCTGAATTCTGCCTGTTTGTTCCTTGTAGGCTAAATACTCTACTGCAGCTGTGAATAAAAACAGAATAATATGTAATTATGCAACTATTCACAGTGGATGGACATAAAAATAGAGTTTATGCCAATGAGATACTAAATTGATAAATTGGTTTAGCAAGGTTCTTAAGAACTCATTCTCTCCCTGGCACAAAAAGTACAGCCAATATTTATTTTATGTTAATTTTATTAAATATAACAACTAAAATTTACAAACTAATATAAACTAAAATAATAATAGAAAAGGTAGATATGCAGAAAAGATGGAAAAGTAGAAAAGAAAGTAAAAAAAAGAATATAGTAAAGAAAAAATGAAACATGTAAATATATGACTTCCCCCTTCATCACAATAAGTATAAACAATTTTAGTAACTTATCACCTTCTCTTAAAATACAGCAAAAATCTCTTCCTTCCATGTCTCATATCTTATCTATAAACAAATCCTTAAAGCCTTCTCATTCAGTTCTGATCAGCAAGATAGCATTGTATCTATGTTAACCTTGGTCAAATAAACCAACCATATATTCTTTCCTTTTACTTTTAGCAAACTTGAACTTTAATCCCTTCAAATAATAAAACTTGATTTCTTTTCATTTTTTTCTCTGTCCCTTCTCACATAGTTCTTCAAAAGTTTAGCAAGTCTGTTTGGCAAATTCAAGGTAGGAAAGTTATCCAGGTCACTTTTGGTTTTTTATTTGTTATTATAGCCTTTTCATTATTAAGACATAAGGCAATTTCATTTGCATTTAAAGTGTAGCATCTTTTCCATATCATTCTTGTTAGCTCTCATGTTTAAATCCACTTTCAAATCAGACTCAGTTTTGTCTGGTAAAGCTAATTCCTCTTCCGTAACATCTTCTAAATGCAGTCTGTCTATATAGGCAAAAACTTTTAAAATTAAGTTCTTGGATCATTGTTCACAAATATCTTTCAGTACATTCAATGTCGAAGTATTTTGCTCCAGCCTGTATTAGTAAATCAAATTCAAGTGTTCTTCTCCTTTAATTTTAAATTTTAGTTCCTCCTGGTTCACTTAATGTCCAATCTTTAAAGTCCCATCCGATCATGTTTTTTCAATAATTCAAAACAGCAGCATTTGTTTTCCATGGGAAGGGTTCTTATAATTAACATCAAAATCTAATTTAAAATCCATCTGGACCCTTAAATCATTTTTTACCTTTCTAATGTTCTAATTACCCTCTTGTTGTTTATTCCAAAAGAAAATATTTTTTTAACCCTTAAACTTGTATTTAAAATTTCTTTCATTAAAAACTAAATTTACTTGGTTCCTGATAACCGAAAGGCAGGTTATCAAGCAATTTCTAAAAATGATTAGAAAGGGTATTTTGAATGAAGGTGACTTCCCCTCATTTCCAAGAGCTCTAAATCTGATGGAAACCACCACCTTGCAGTCATCTCATGAGGAGTCTGGAAGATTTGCGGGCTATCTCAAGTTATCTCCTTGGCTGGAGAGGAATTTCAAAAAGCCAGTCTTTGTTCTGCCATAGTCTTTGGCTGTGCTTTTAGAGGAGATGTGTCCAGTTTGCCATTTCTTCCCTGGAAGTCCCAACCTGTATCAATATTTAGATAGCTGAAACCGGTACTCATCTGAGAACAAGCGCCTTCATAATGGGCAGGAATTAGTTCTCAGCAGATACACACAGGACTGTTTAAGTATCGCTCTCTAGTTGTAGGAACAAAGACATCTGCTGACTATTCGTGTGCTATTTGGGAAAATCCACCAAAGATTTAGAAAGTTCATTGTTGCCAGCACAGCAGAGCAAGGGCCAGAAACATTTTGGGGTTAAGGTATACATTCTCTTGGGAGTTCTTTGCCCAAGACCCCATGCTGGTGTC